TAGGGGACTGAGTTTATATATCCGCTTGAGTATAATACAGGCTTGTTTTATTTAAAACCCAGAGAATGTTTTTGCAGTATCTTTGATCTTTAATACAAAGCGTCTCAATAAAAAGTTTTTTAATTTGATTGCGTGCGTTCGTTAGGTCTAATTTTTTGTTAAAGTTTCCAAAGTGATTAGCATTAGAAATATTATAAATTCAAATTCAAAAGGTACTTGGAGTTATCGTTGTTTCTGCTTTTTAAAATACTGGCTGTTGTGCATGCTACTATGTCAGGGCATCTGTTTTATAGCTATAACCTTTTCTTTAGATGGCTCCCGTTCTTTATTAGTGTTAAATTGAACTTGTAATTTTTAATCTCTTAAAAACATAATATTCAAGTCATTTTCGGGCTCTCTTTAAGGTCTATGCTAAATGCTGTTTGTCTTTACCACTCTTACCTTTTCAGCAAACTTGTCACATATTTTAGAGCTTTCAGCTTACAAGATTGAAGTAGTTCAGAAGAAAAAGTATATTTTTCAGTAAATTACTACGTTTGAAAGAGTTCCGTCTCAATATAGTCTCTATTGTTTGCTGGACAGTATTGTCTCAAATGCACATCATGCTATTGCACGTTCACCTGCATAGTAGTAAGTTCCTCATGGAATAGAAATGTAAAATCAGTATTTAATTCTGTCTAATGTCGTAAGTGCTGATTCCAATTTGAAAGAAATCAAATTAATGTTTTTGTGCTTATACACAAACACACAAAGAGTTACATAAATTGTGAGATAAATATGTCATAAGTTCTAGTGTAGGTTATATAGTTTTTTATACATAAATTTAACATTTTAACAACTAGGAAACTATCCAATTAAGGTTATGTACTTCAACAACTATTCTTTATAATATTTAAGATAAATCCGTTATTTTGTAATAAACCAGTGGTTAGTGAGAGCTTGGGTAACTAAGTAAGAAGTGATAGTTCTATCAAGTTGTATGGCAATTACATAATTATTAATATAAGTATAACTCGTAAGGAACGATATTATATTCGAAGTTGGTGCAATTATCGTTGAAACCAGTAAGCCTACGTTAGTTGGGTATGGTTTTAATAAATATTTTAATATCTAACAACAGAAAAATTGTAAACAATATTTTATGGCACAGTACAATATAAACAATATGGTGGCTGGCCAGTACAAGACTGTGCTCTTTCATCAAATTTTCTGATGGTTTCAGAAAAACTTTCTAAGAAAATAAGAAATATCCTTATGAAATAGCAGATCTTTTCACTGTACCTTTTTTCACATATTAAATTAAAAAATATTTCAATTTAACATGTAACCTTATGAAAAAATTACTTTAAATTGGATTCATAAAACCTTTATAATGCTCCTATTTTTGGTGGTGTGAACGATTACTATTAGATAAACCTGTTTTATTTTAAAATAGATCTATAATTTTTTTTTCTAATAACACAAAAAAAAAAGGGATAAAGAATATACAAAATCTGGCGTGTAAGTTATTCTTTATACGAAAAACAATTTCCAGAGTTGCAGCATATATTTTCGCTCCTCTCACCTCTCTGAGCTTAGTTTTCAATCACTGAGGAAAAATTGTGAGAGAAGAAAGTGCAATAAAAATCAATTATTGTATTTATACAGTATGGATATGTTTTTTTTCTTCATTTATAAACAATAATTTATTTATTGTACATAAGGATATTAGAAATTGTTTTTTTTTATCGATGGGTTAGTATTAACGCGAGTAATTGGACTTATCGACTTTCCCGTCCAGTTCAAGATTGCCAAGGTAGAGGAGAGAAGTCGTCGAGACTTCGATGGCGAAATTGGCAACGCCCTTTGCCGGCAAGAAAAGAGTTGCAGATTTAAATCCTGGTCAAGGTAGCACTTTTTTTTCAATTGCTACGTATGTCAACTTTTCTACAAATCTGGAGTTTTAACTTAAAAAAATCAAGTTGCTTTGGCGATCTCGAACTGGATGGGAAAGTGGATAAGTTCAATTACTTGCAATAATTTATTCATCTTAAACTCGGTAGTATTTGATTATCTATAGTAAAAATAGTAGTCTTCATCAGATTAGTGCCATCGTCTCTAGGGCTATTTTGCTTCCCAAGGGACCAGCGAAACAGGGCCCGAGGGACGTAAGGCAGCCACAGAGCAATGGTGCTTATGTGGCTCATCCGATTTCTTTTACCAAGCACACATGAGCCTCTCAAAAACGATTAAGGTCAGAAAAAGATTTACTTTTTTGACTCCAAACAGTCTTCGTTTGATATTTTTATATATTTATATTAAAAAGACAGTTAATTTATACATATGTATTTTGATCAGTAAATATTATAGATCTGAAAAAAGCAAATTATGTTTATATTTTTTTTTGTTCATTAACATACAAACAACAAGAACGAAAGGGAGCAATAATAGACGGTAAAAAGTATCTATACTACCAACATGTACAAAGGTACATACCTTAGCTCAACAAACGTTCCTGTGTATTACTTTCTCTGTCTCTCTGTCTTTTTTTAAATTCGGATACCTGTTTACTGTGCGTAGTTGCGCACGTGCGCAAATTTGGTTGAGTTGGCTCTTTACTAAAGACGGGTTAAGATGAAGTTTGAATTAACACAATTGTAAGAACCTGGGAAAATTTTGCATTATAATCAAATATTGATATGTTAAGATAATCCTATTCACAGAGAAGAAATTTCTAAAAAATGATGAAAAAATAATACTAATTCTAATATGCATTAATTACTTTCTACAAGGACAACATATTTAAGAAAGCAATAAAAAAGGCCTACCTATATGAGAACACTAGAGAAAAAGAGAGAGAGAGAGAGAGAGAGAGAGAGAGATAGATAGATAGAGAAAGAGAGTGAGCCCGATAGCAGACGATCAATGGCTCTCTCTGTCTTACTTACTTTTACAGGTACTGCCAAAATGCCTGTTTCATTTTTTTTCTTATCATTTCGCACTTGTCAAAACAAAATAAGAGAGTGTTTACTGATAGAAAATTTTGTCGTCTTACACGCTGGTATTCTTATTTTTTCTGTACATCAAAACTGTTGAAAGATATAAGCAAAACTAACTTTAAAACACAATTTTACACAAGTTTGACATAAATAGAGCACTTAAAAATAGTCATAACTATTTCTTTTCGAATTGGCCGTCTTAATTACATATAGTATAAAAAATAAAAAATTATAGATTAATTTTCTAATTTAGAAGTTTCTTGGTTGGTGTATATAAATAATAAAAACAAAGATTGGATTGGTGTGCTGCATAACACAATCGGTAAGTTCCCCGACTACCAATTCTAAAGATGTAGTTCGATTCTCAGAGTTAGGATAATTTGAAAGTTTTATTTATACATACAAAATATATAATGTTTAGAATACATACATGCATATGTGTATGCATATTAAATATATACAATACATGTACAATAGTTTATTATTATATACTTTTTTGTACAGCCATAATAATACGAGTAAAACATTTCACAAATGAGAGAGAGGAAGCAGTAAGCGCATAGAGAAACAGAGAGCCGAGCCAAGCTGAGCCGAGCCAAGCCGAGCAAAGTTTAACCGGAAATTGTGCCATCGCACAGGTCCCTTTATAGCGTTAGTCGAACCCCCAAGCGCGCCAATAGATGTTTCACATCAAATCACATACACACTTAACTAAGCGATGCTACGTCAATTTTACATATACTAAAATTGTATAAGGACAGACGATTGGGAGTGATTATGAAATATCTTCAGCCGCTCGACACACGTACTTTGTTGTCTCTAACTACGTGTGTATGTATCGGACTATGCATGTACGTGTGTATGTATAGTAATATTTGTATAATTTAAAGCTATACCTGCTGCATGCGCAAACAGTAAGAAAGGGGATGGGGATCCATGGATGTGGTGGCACGGTGAACCGCTCTCAAACTCTGGAGCTATGATGCGGAGAGGGGGCATGGCCTATGGTGGTGGCTCGCTGTACGCCGCTGCATCCGCGGAATATATCCAGTTTTTGACATCAATTTTTCACGTACTTCCAAAATGTCAAACAGATTTACGTTTTGAAAGGTTGTAGAGTAACTTTTAACGAGTACAACGCTGTTTCAAAAATGGCAATATATTGAAAAACCAGCCACGTCTAACTTTCTTGCGGGGGGATCATTTTTTGCTTGCAGAAATTTGCAAAAAGTTTACAACCGATCTTCTTCATATTTAGTGTGGATGTTAAGAGGAACAAGATTTATCTTGTATTTAATTTTCAAGTCCTAATATTGAAATAACCGTCAGTTAAAGATTTAAGAAAAAACGGTTCAAAAGAGCACTTTTTGGCAAATTGTAATAAAACAACTGGGCCAATTTTATTCCACTCAAGCTCATTTTCTCCGTCTTGAAATTGCGCATCTTTTTCAACAGTACAACTTTTTGTCCGACTCTTCAGTTTTTTTCTAGACGCGAAAAACTATTTTTGACCTCATTTATCATCTTCTTTGGGCCGTTAACTGACACAGTTTAAAGTCTAAGGCTATTTAGATTTGTTAAAAAACTAAATAACTTTCATTTTTTACGCGTTATTAGCAATATTATTTTTTAAAGCTAATTCTATTCTATTATAGGGCATAAACTGATATGTGGGCGCAAAGTTCGCCCATACGAATCAAAGTACGTTTTCATGATTTCAGAAAGGAAAACGAATAATATCCTTATTATGATAACCTTAAAAAACAAGATCTTGACTTTCCATAAGTTTTGATTCGTTCTCACACGTTCTTAGTCATGCAAGAAATATGTCGAAATAAGAGAGAAATATTAAAAATCAATAACAAAAACTTATTTTTTAGTGCACATTGCAAGAGCATACTTCAATTTCGTAGACTAATTTGTAAATGCCTTTTGTTCTCCTAGGACTTGCTCTGTAGCACTGCTCAGCTTTAAGTTAGACTATTTCTTACAAACTCTGATACTTATTTAGTTCAGCAAAAATCTCCTGATTTATTTGATTGAGTTTTTCTAACATCGAAGTATTTAGTTCTTTTTTTTAAAAAGAAAAACTGTTTAAGTCACAAACTTGATCTTTTTCCTCACGGTTTAGCATTGACATTGATATACTAACTTGACTTTCAATGTTTACTTTGATAAGTAAGAAATACTGTTTTGTAAAAAAATTACTAAAGCTTCCTATTACGTTTTCAAGACTTGTAAGTTGCTCTTAACAAAGTTTACTTGTATTAACGTAGCTCTTATGGTTGAAATTTTTTTTACAGCATGCAGAAGGATTTTCCATGGAAAATAGTATAGATAAAATACCTTTTGTTGGAAAACATCAATTTACTCAATTACCAGTTTATAGAATTCTAAATAGTTCCAAAATGGATCACGTTACTATTGATAAATTACAAGTATAATAATTTGTTTTATGATAAATATATTCATTCTCTATGCATTTAAAAAAAAAATTTATTAATGTTTTTCAAAACGTTCCGTAATCACTACGTGTAATGATATGATAATACTTATCACACGTTCAGATTGTGTTGTAATAGTTTGCTGTATAGACTAAGAATGAGATGTTAACTTCAAGTAAGAAGAGCTTTCAAAATTGTTTGATTATTGTCGTACAAATCCATGAAATTAAATGTCTTTTTTTTCTGCTTGTTAGCACATATCTTTTTATAAAGGAAAATCTGAACTTTAGATAAAATTTTTTCAGCTGCTGATAATATTTACTAACTGTTATATATATTCCTTATTTCTCTACCATATCTAAAGATATGGTATATATATCCGTTAGTATTGGGAAAAAACTTAAATGAATTCGTTGTGACACAGAGGTTTCATCATAAATGGCTTGTTGTTTAACTGGCATTTAATGTTCTTTAAAAACTGAATGTAGGCATCTTGAATACTGCATTGAATAAATTGACTTAGCAATCAGTGTAATAAACATAAAAATATAGCGTATTTCCTAATTTTAATAAATTTTTTATGCTCTCGTACCAAATGTCTTAAGATTTCGAAATTTTGTGTTTTATGTCTTTTCTTTTACGATATCAATTCAATAGCAGCTTTTATAAAGCATGTCTGTGAAATTTCAACTTAATTATAAGTAAAACTCCCTTACAATAATCTTCAAACAAAACTAAAAGAATTTATGTAAGTTTGATGAATTGAATTCATATTTTTAAAGAAATTTCTAAAGATTGTATGAATTTACTATACATTTTATTGATTCTGTTTCATCATTTCAGAGCCTTGTTAAGTCTAAAATCATAGTATGAAAACGGTCATGATTTTTTTTTTCAGAGCAGTTTACTTCTTGTATGGCACTGATATAGTACTTGTACTTTAACGTAATCAAATAAGGGATATTGATATTCAACTATGTAATAATTAATGCAAACCTAAGCCCAAATATATACTGAAACCTTCTCACGTTAGGAGTTCATAAAAGTTTTAAAGTATTTTTTCGCTGTATGTAATGCAAGGTTTACGTATAATACTAGTCAAAAATTAATATAACTTATTTTTATTTATTAATAGTATAAGTACTAGATAAAATGATAGAATGAGAAAAATCCGCTGGAGCGCTGCTGGTCTTCATTTTCGTAGCGAATGTATGGACTTTTTTTGCAAAGTTTAATGAATTTTTGGTCCCTTAATTTAATTTCTTTCATGATATTCTCCAGTATGCATTATAATACTTTGCAAGAAGTGATTTTTGTCTGATGTAGAGAGCATTGTTAATGTATTTTTTTTTTTTTATTTGGAAAAATTAGGGGTAAACCCCCTCTAAAAAAAAATGTACGATTTACAATAAAAAATATAAAAAACGAGCCATCCTAGTACAGGCTCCTATAAACTCTTCCACTTTAAAAGGTCAAAACTAATTTTGTTAGAGGTCAAAATTATTATTTTTGAACGACCTTAAAGAAAAAGAAATTTTGTTTAATTTTTTGATTATATTTTTATGGTCAAGATAGAAATTCATAAAAAAAAAGACCACTTTCGTCCTGAAAGCTTCATAAAAACTCTTTAAAAGCATGCATTTTTTAAATTAAAAGTAATGTTATCGTATAAAATGTAACAATTTATGCATATTCCGCGTATTAAATATAACATTATTTAAATATGTAACTATACAACAAAAGAACGTGTAAGCCAAGAAAAATTAGAGGTCTTTTTTAATAAGGCTCTGTAGTTACTTGTGTTGTGTTTTACTGTAATAGTAAATTACTAAATTTCAGAAAAAAATGTATGTCTGTACAAAAACAATTTTTTATTTTACATATATACACATAAAGATTTTGAGCTAGTGTTATAAGATCTTATGCATGCATAAGGATTTGTTAGGTTTATTACTACGTAATGTATTATATCACTTGACATTAAAATAATTATATTTCGTGGGGAAACAAAACATTTATGGATGATTTGTTTTATTATGTAGCAAAGATTTTATACTTTAGTAAGAATTGTAACAAATGAATATGAGGTGTCAAAAAAAGATGATATGTTTTTTTAAGTAGCAAAGATTTTATACTTTAGTAAGAATTGTAACAAATGAATATGACGTGTAAAAAAAAATTAAAGGCAGCATTTATTGTATGCTACGTTATTTTAACTGAAGGAGGTTTGGGAGGGAAGTTAAAAACGGAGAAACATGCCAGAAAAATGTATGTCATATTTAAGCATATTAGGAGTGCACATGAATTTTTTTAGATGTCTTACCACAGGAAATTGTCGAAAAAAAAATTATGAAATATTGATTGTTTAACACGGTCTCTTCTATAAGAGCAAGGTTAGGTTTGCCTTATAATTAAAATTAAAGTCTATTCTAAATGTGTTGGAAAAAAAAAACGTTTTCATAGAAACCTTGATACAATAGGAAGTTGCACGACAAAAAAAATCAAGCCTTGCCAAGCATTTTTCAAAAATATAAGAAGTTAAGATGTCCATGGTTAGATTTTTTTGAGAGCTGATATTTATGGTGTTAGCTAAATATTGGGCTCATGTGACATCTTTTTTATTACTTCTGCAGTATTATAGACATACCGATTATATGCAAAATAAAAATTTGAGTTAGGATTAGTACGTGAGAAATGTTAATTCTGTGTAGACCGATAAAAAAGATAACAATAATGCATAAATTACTGTACTTGTTACAATTTTCTTTTAAAAATTTTGTAGTAAATGTAGGTAAATCAAGAAAAAATCATTTTAATTTTTGAAAAGAGCTGTTATATTTTTAAACCATCGAACATTTAAAAAAAAAATTTATTAATGTTTTTCAAAACGTTCCGTAATCACTACGTGTAATGATATGATAATACTTATCACACGTTCAGATTGTGTTGTNAAACTATATAACGTTAAATTTGTAGCATTCAATGACTGTAAATCCATTTTCTAACATAAAAATAACATCGTTTAGTCATACAATATTTTGTACTCAAAGAACTTGTGAAAAAATCTTGATCCATTACAAAATTTATTTTTTAACTCTCAAAACAATAACTTATTTTTAAGAATTTTATAATTTAAAGAATAATAATGATTAATTCTCACCCCCTTTAAGCTCTTTTTTCATGCTTTTCGTGAGTGGGTTTGACCATTCCAAAAAAAACGAATCTCTCTATGTTCTCTGTTTTTGTACATAAATAATGTTTTTAAGTGTAGGTTAATTAAACTATTCAAAAAACTTGTCTTTTACAGCAAAAATGAGAGTGATGCGTGAAAGAGCAAAATTTTATAAATCAAAAATTAAATTTTCTGTAAAATAGGTCTTATGATTATTCCAAAAATTAGCAGCCTCGTCGTCTTACTCTTGCCTAATACTCACTGAATAAAATACTGTTGTTTGTTAACACATAATGTTAAATGCTTTCAGTATAAGGTTATACATCGATATTTGACCCTTCTCAAATAAGAAACATTTTATTAAAAGCTTGTTTATTCGTAATCCAAGCAGTTTATTTACCATTATCATTGCTAATTTTCAAATCATCAAACTACTGGAGCGTAACTCTAATCGCCAGAATGAATACAAATACATATTATCTTACCTATTAAAATATCTAGAAGATTTAAGAGGGCTCCTTCATGTTAATCCCCAAAAAAGAGAAATACCATTTCTAAGAGAAGAAAATTCGCTATATCCACAGGTGACCTTTACACTACTTTACACGCGAGGCAGCAGTGCGTCAGCCGTGTGTCGTCTGCTACGGTGAGTCTGTTTGGCTATATAATATATAATGTAGTAGTGGCGATGTAAACAACAATTAGTTAACCAGGGCTTACAATAAATAAATAATAATGTTTTGATAAAATTTATTTTTCCGCCTTCTAATCTCAAAATAGCACCTTCGCCGCTTAATTTTGAGTTCTCAGGCGGAAAAATATTATACGAAACTCGTTCGAAAAGGCTTCTTTACAAACCTTGTTACGGCACGAGCCGAAGGCGAGGTTCGTAAATCGAAGCCTTTGCAAACTCGTACGTAATGTACTAAATATATACAACAATTTTATAATAAAGAAATAAATAATGATTAATATTGATTAAATATTAGATATTTACATAAATAAAGTAAAAAATAAAAACAAATTTGTTTTACTTCATTCTCTTTTTCTTTTTAGGCATGGAAATCGAATAATGACACTTGTTTTACGTTCTTTCAGTTTCGGAAAAATTTAATACTGGTTACTCAAAGAAGTTTTCTTCAACATTAATTTATTATCCTTAATGGGGATAAACGCATGATAATTCAGTGTCCCTGGAATCAGTTTCACACTAGAAATTTCGTCTTTTAATCTCAAGGAAGTTTCTTCGTAGTCAGATTTGCTACTAATCGTTTCTTTGCAGTAAAACCTACGAAAACTTCGACTTACGATAGCACAACCTCAAGTCATAAAAATAATAAATACTAATATTTAATTAATCAATCGAAACATGTTGCAAAATGCAAACCGTCACGGTTAGGTGTATTTGTTTACATCCAGTCAGAGAGACGGTAGCTGACGGCGCGCTGCTGCCACGCATGGCCCGGCCGCCGCGGCTCCCATCGTCTCGTTCGTTAAATACGTTATAAAAACGAAAAACCCCCTTTTTTTTTTACTGTTGATATCTAAGTAAAAATGTCTCATCTTTCGATCTAGACTATCAAAAAAATTTCAAAAGTTGAAGATCATGGAGATAAAACGTGTTTTTCAAACAAGTGAATTTTTATAGGTTATAGGAGCAAATTTTCGAAAAACTGATGCCACCACTGGAAAGCTGAGGAAAAAATCCGTAAGAATATGTTTAAGATAATTTTTTTGTCAAAGTTTTGACACCGAAACGACGAGTTGAAAACGTCACGTTCAACGCCCGCGTGGGCTGTCCACCACGGCGCTGGGACAGTTG